CTTGAATCAAGACATTCCTATTATGTGCATAAGTGTAGGCTGGTAGGCAAAAGAGTATTTTAAAACATTGCTTTATTTTTTGCACTATCTTCTAATAGTGAAATCTTGGAATTCAGTTTCTTTGGCCTGAAAGAATCATTTTTTTTTCAAGAAACAAATTTAATGCTGAAATCATAAATTATAAAAATATCTGAAAGCCTCATGGCTATGCTTGTTGTGGTCTTTTTGAACCAGGTCCATTATCTGTGTGCACTGGCTTGGACTGACTCAGTGATCACTTTTTTTTTTTTTTTTTTACCCCATGGGATGCAGAATCTCAGATGTCTGCAAAATAGCCCCAGAACAACATGAGTTAGCAGTATATATCTTCTGCTGTCCTTAATCTTAATTTTTGGAAATTTTTTCTCTGCACTCAGAACATACTAGAGGAAGCCAGCTCACTTTTCAATGCATGTTGTCTGGAGAAAGTGCCAGAGAAAGCCTTCACAAACAAAGTGGGGGCTGCTTCTTTCCCTCAGAAGTCTGGAACCCTGTCTTCCCTGAGCTGCCTGTCCATGTTGGGGGAGGGCCTCCTTTGTATGACTGGCCTGGTGGTTCAAAGGGCAGGACCATGGACTGCAAAGGAGTAGAGGGGCCCTCGTCCCTGCAATGGCTCAAGATGATGGCTACTTCTCTGTGGCAGCTCATTGTGTGGCCTCCATTTGACATTTTAGCCCAGGTCTGCTGGGGACAGCCAGCCCAGCCCCGAATGATAGTACAAGTACCCGCTTCTGCTGAAGCTGTTCCTTTACCCATCCTGAGAGGAAGCAGGCTGGCAGACAGGACTGGGAATCCCTGTTTCCACCTCCTGGGAGTGATGGGGGTAGGATCATTCTGGCCACATGCTGTTTGGAGCATATAGATAGCAGTGTATGCCGGCATTTAGGGAATTATTGGGGGATAAAATCATGATAAATTTTTTTTTTAAAGAAAAAGGTTTTTGGTTTTGTTTTGTTTTTGGCTTGTTCTATGAAACACCAGCCACTGGTGTTTTAAGGTGCTCAGAGAATTCTGTCGGCGGGATGTTTGGAAGGACAAATATTGATGTGTGTGCTAGAGAATTAAGACAAATGATAATTGAAAGAGATGATAAAAGCTAGTGGTTTCCTTGGGGAAATAATCACGAACTGCTGTCAGACTGATTCCAATAAGAATATTACTTTATGTGAAATGTTTTTTAAACAGCTCAACCAAAGCATTAAGCTGGATTACTTCTAGGGCATCTCTTCGCTGTATGTTTCTACTGTACCTCCACCTGAGATTCCTCAGCTGCTCGTCACTGTTCCGGCTGCCATGTTGAGCTGCGTCATGGTCAACACTCGGTTGGAAATGAGAAATATCAGATTGCAATAGGATCCTGTTTGCCGGTCCTGAAGATAATTCTATAGTTTTACCATATTGATTCACCATGCGGATTCATTCTTATTGATCTGTGAAGTTATTTATGTGTGTTTGCTCAGGTTAAGCGGCTCCTGCTGTGTTTAGGGAATCTCTTTAAGGAAGCTTTAGGGCTTCTTGCGGTGGAGACTGCTTGCCACAATTTGCATTTTCATGTTTTGGCATTTATGTTGGGGTTATGCTTGGGTCCTCCATCTCTTTGTGACCCCATTTACCCTCTAGAGATATCTGTCAGAGCCCCTACCTAACTGCATTGCATTTATTGGGTTAAAGCTATATTAAATTATCCTGTGTTAAATTGTAACCCAGAGCCTGGCACGAGGCACGAGTGTCCACTGAATGAATGAATGACGCCCTGGTCAAGTCTCATTGCCTCTTTCCAAAGGAAGAGATGCAGGAGACCTTCCATTTGCCTCTCCAGATCCACTTTCCACCCTTCTCTTCCTGTTCTGCACCCCCAGAGGCTGACTAACCATAGCCTCCCTCTTCTCTGCCACCTTTTGCCTTTGACAGCAAGTGTGGGTATATAATAGGACTGGATGTGCCAGGATTGCTTTGTTCCTTTATTGAATGCCTTCTCCATACAGTGTCCCACCCTGGGTTCCACAAATTCCTCCTCCTTCTTGTTCCTTCAGGCTGAGGGTTTGTGAGGGCTCTCTGGTGCTGCCAGCCATGGGTATTGCATTATTCCTTACGGGTTTCCTTAAACCCTGCACACACGTTTGTAAATAGTTTTTCTATTAAATTCTTCTCAGATTAACCGGTGGGAAGGAGCCCACTGTATCCTGCTAGGACTCTGACTGATATTTACCCAGGTCACCCAGATGACAAAGTTAGTTGTAATCTAGATACCCTAATCTGTGTCTCTTGCATTATTTCAAGTAAACACTTTCTTCTAGGCCAGTCTGCCTCCAAATTAGAATCAAATAGAGCAGGGGTCAGCAAACTACAGCCGTGTGGGCCAAATCCAGCCTGTAACCTGTTTTTGTAAATGGAATTTTATTGGAACACAGCCATGACCATTGGTTTACTCACTGTCTGTGGCTGCTATTGAGCTATAGCAGGAGGTGAAGAATTGCAACAGAAACTGTATGGCCTGGAAAGCCTAAGCTGTTTGCTGTTTCACCCCTTATAGAAAGAGTTTACTGATCCCTGATTTCAAGGAAGACCGTCATGTGTGAACTTTATTATTTTTATCAAGAGGCTCCTGGGCCAGATGCTGGGGGGCACTTGTGAGTGGTCATAGGATGAAGACATGGGGAGTTTTAAACCCCAGGACTAGACAGGTTTGCCCAAAGAGCACTGTGTTGTGGCAGCTTGGCAAGGCACTCCCTCATGTGATATGAGAAGAATGTGACCAAACAAAACTGGGAGGTATTTGTATTTAAATGTGCTTATAATGTATGATTTCATAATTAAATAATTTCCCGAAAAGAATTGCTCTCCCTAATGTTTCAGCATCTCCCTGTCAAAGTTACCAGACTGCCCTTTGTGGGAGAGTCCAGGTTTTGTTCATATCTGTGTAGACCTCTGTCTGGCGCAGAGTGACTGATACTCAGTATTGTTTGACCAAATGGTAATCAGCATCTACTTCAGAGAAGGGGAAAAAAGTAGGGGGGTGGTGGTGTACGGTATTAACTGGGAAGATATATTAATGTTCTCAGGCTTTCTCTGATTAGAGTCTCCGCTCAACCTTCACAGAACAAGAACAGCTATAAGAAGAGGCTGTGTACCCAGAAAAGGTGCCCCTCCGGGCAGACTGGCTGCATCACTTGTGGGGTTCGGTACAAAATGAAAATGTGAGGCCCCTTATTCCAAAATTATTAAAGAATTTCCAGATAGTATCAGCGTATCAGTAGAGCATTGAGCCCAGCACAGCCCCTCTCAGACGACACAGGTCGCACGCCCGGGAGACTGGCAGCTGAGAAGAAGGCAGCCTGTGGGAGATCAGTGAGGATTCGTTAAGTCTAGAGAACCACAGGGCGCTCAGCTACTACAAGGAGGTGCAGACCTGCATTGCTCAGAGTTCTGGAGGCTGGAAGTCCAGGGTCGGGGTACAAGCAGAATTGGTTTCCAGGAAAGGCCCTCTTCTGGGTTGCTGCCTTCTCGCCATGTCCTCCCATGGGGGAAGGGGCGAGAGAGCTCTGTGGGATCTTTTATGGAAGAGCACTAATAGCATTCAGGAAGGCTCTACCTTCATAACCTAAGCACCTCCCAGAGGCCCCCCTGCCTAATACCATCACATTGGTCATTAGGATTTCAACCTGTGAATATGGGGTGGGGGGACATGCACACATTCAGACCATGGTAATACCTGAGTGAAGAACAATGTGTTTACATGAATGGTCCATTTATCTGTCCCCAGAAACTTCCCTTGCCTCCTTCCTCATCATAAAAGCGGTTTAAGGGCCCAGTCTAAGCACTGTGCCGGAACCCCTACGCCAAGACACCCAGAGTCTTTCCTTATGTCAGACATTCACCGTGCCAGCTGCCGGGGCTTCTCTCCACCCACCCGCTTCCCCACCCCCACACCCTGAGCCCTACTCTCCCGGTTAGAATCACAGCGAGCCTCTGGGAGGCTTCTAAGCGGTGGTAACTATGGGTGGGGGACTTTGAACTCGAGGAAGGACTTCATGGCTAGTGCTTCCCTTCAACTGGAGGGATCCCACTTTTGTTTCTTGCAGACCACTGCGATCCCTAACCCTTCATCCATCCCATCACCCTTGCTACAAAAGGGGGCCTAGTGTTCATCTCTAACCGCTCTGCTTGTGGGAGCTCCTCACGTCCTCTGCTGAAAGGTGGCAGCCCCTTGGGGCACCTGGGCAGCTCAGTCGATTAAGCATCTGACTCTTGATTTCAGCTCAGGTTGTGATCTCTGTGTCGTGGGTTCCAGCCCCGCATTCAGCTCCACGTTGGGTGTGGAGCCTACTTTAAAAAAAAAAAAAAAAGGTGGCAGCCCCTTGCTAGAAGGCCACCCTTGTCGGCGCTGGTGGGGACAGCTTCGGGGTCCTCTCCTGCAGGTGCACAGCCCCAGATGCCTGGCATGCTGAGATCTGGAACACCAAGGGGTGCCACCCCATCTCCCTGTGCTGGGGAAGGCACCCAAGCACCCCAAGGATTTCAGGCATTATGATGCCTCAACAACAAAACTGTCCCTTAGGGAGGGGCAGAGTTCTGAAGCTCTAGAAGCTTTGGAAACCGTAGTAGATAGGGGAGTTTTCCTTCGAATGGGGAGTGGCACTGTGTCATACAAAGCCACAGTTGGGAGAGCCTGATGGAGTCAAGTGGAGTTTGCTCTGGATCAGAAATCAGATGTCTGCAGGCCTTTGCAGTCTTTTGCTTAACCCAGTAGCTGGGCTTTCTCAGGCCCTGTTTGCTTCCCTGTGACTGTTGTGACCTTAATGACAACAGCTCCAGACAGGCTCCCCACCGCCTGTGCTGACACGTTCGTTTTGCAAGCAGCTAAAGCAGAGGCGCAGCCCCACTGATAGTCTGTGTTCTTGTCACCCCCACTGCGAGCGCCTCCACCCTTTACACATGGACCTGTTTTCTGTCTTTTGCAGGGTCCCCGGTGGCATATAGATCTCCAGCCATGGGCGGGTCCTGCTCAGTCCCTGGATGAAGAAGTCTTGAGGTTCCTGAGATACATCAGCACCCCCCAGGTTGTATTCCAGGCGCAAGTGGGTTTGGAAACCCTGTGAAAGATGCTGAGCAGCCCCCTTTAAAAAAGGGTTTGATCAGTGAGGGCGTGGGGAGGTTCTCAGGGACTCCTGGTAGGGACTTGGTAAGGACAGAGTTTCTGAGGCCTTGCTGCTTAAATTTATCCACTTACTTAGAGGCAGATAAGATGCCTCCCATTTGCTTCAGCATCTTCTGCCTTCCAAGGGTATTGTCATCTTGAAATGTTTTAATGATTCATCCCGACGTGTTTTAAAGATCCACTTTAGCAAATTGCTTTGGAAAGCCATTTGAAGCGACAGATTCATGCCCGTGAGTAGGCAGTCAAGTGTGTCACAAAACAAAACCATCATCTGGAGGTTCAAGTTCCATTTTGTATTTGGAGGAATCTGCCTTTTCACTCTTCTCCCACAGACGCTTGGCAGACCGAGACCCGCTAGGCCAGAGAGCCGAGGAGATGTAGCAGGCAGTCTGAGAAGCTACCGAATCCAAAGGCACTCAGTTCTTATTGCACTGAAAATCATGATGGAGCATCGGCCTTTATTAGTCACTTGACACACGGTGACAGCTCCCGCCTAGGCTGAGTCTGTGCCCCCAGCAAGGAACGGGACTGTCCACTAAGCAGAGTCTATGGCTCTTGACACGCCAACCAGGAGATTTCCATCCTCAAGTAGCCTGATCCTGGGGACAGAGAGACAATAGAAAAGATCAAAGCCCAAGGGAAACTTTGCCCTGAACTGAGAGGTGTTAGGAAATTAGGAACGAGCCCTGCCTAGAAGGTGCGTAGGCCCACCGGGAAGGTGCCCTGGGGGGCTGGTGTGGCACTGGAGGCCCCAGGCTCTCTTGGTGCCCCCCCAGCCCCACTGGTTCTGGGCATCCTACTTCTCCTCCAGCACCTTCCTGGCAGCAGGGCCCATTTTTCATCTGTGGAGAGAATATGTTTCTAGATCTTTGGAAGGCTAGTTTAGGGGTAAAAGAAAGTCCCATTTTTCATATGATGCAGTCAGACAACTGGATCTTAGTAGCTGTCACCTAGACATGGACATTAAAGCTTGTTGAATTAATCATGAGTTATGTAGGATGATAAATTGATCCCTGTGCTTTACATAATTTCATCTTATTTTGCTGCTGCAAATTAATTTGGTGGACTTTCATAGACTTAATTAAAATGTTGAAATTTTAATTTTATGGTTTGGTTTTTACATGAAGGACCTCTTGACTGCTACTTTAAGAAGCCCTTAAGACACCAGAGAAAAATGTGAGGTGTTAGCCTTATGAATTTGAGAACTGTGGGCTCCACCCCCCAAAATAAATTGTCCAAGTAAAAGTCTCCAAATTCCATTTTATATGTATTTCAGGTTAATGTTCTGTAACTTATAAAAGGCATATTTACTTAGAAGAAGCTCATGAGGCATGAAAGGGTTATTTCAAGCCCCTCTTGGATTTTTCCCATGAGTTATACTTTGAGAGGAGAAAAATTTTGAGGGGAAAAGAAAAGCATCCTACAATGTAGCCTGATGTGACCCTGGGCAATTTATTTTGCTTCTCTGGCTCTTACTGTTCTGATCTTGAAAAGGAAGAGAGTTTTTAAATTATTTCTTAGGTTTCTCCCAGTTCTGTGAGCTTATACTCTGCCGAGAGTAGTATAGGATCATCATTGACTAAGTATTTTTGAGCACCTACTTCGTGCCAGGAGCTGTGCCAGGCCCTGGGAATACAGTTTCTGCCCTCAAGCAGCTAAGAAACTAGTTGGGAAGGTAGATAAATGGACACATTATTCAGCTTGATGAGTGTGACAATAAAGATCTGGTTGTTGAAGCTCACTAGAAGGATTTTCATCCTCCAGAAAAACTGAGGTAAAGTTCTAGATCTCACAGCGGTTTTGTAATCAGGGGTCGTTTTGCCCAGGCGAGGTCCTATGTTTTCTGTACTTCTAAGTCACTGGGAAGCCAGCAGGTGGGAGCTCATCAGAGGTGACACTAACTGATTCTTAATCAGAATCTTTTGCTAAACAGTGTTCCCTCCCCCTCTCTATGCAATGCAGAGGTTTTTGGTTTTTTTGTTGTTGTTTTGTTTTTTTGGCTGTTTTGGGGGCTTAGCCTTCATTTAGAACTCATCTTGACAAGGAAAGCCTACAAAACTGGAAGAATATTAGAGTCACTATTCCCTAAAATTTGCACACAGTTAGCAGTAGTGAGTCATAATGGGCCAGGGAGGAAAAAAACCCTCTGAAGGTACTAAAGCAAATTCTACCCCCATCCTCTTATGCTGCTTTTTTAAAATTAAAAAAAAAAAAAAAGATCTCCCTCAAATCTGTGTTCAAGCTTGCGCAGCAAGGCCCGGCATTTGATGTGTGCATCACCGATGTATTCATTCCTCAGGTCAGCAGGCATTTGTTAAACACCTGGTGGCCGGCACTGACTAGGGTGGACAAGCCAAATCCAATACCGACACATACTGGCAGACAGCTGGGATGCAAGAGTTGTGTGCTCTCTAACGGGGGTGGGGGTGGGGTACAGATGGGTGGGGGAGTTTCCCCAGACCAGGGGAGCTTAGAAACAGAAACACAGGGCAGGGGACAGTGCGGCATTAGACCTCAGTGGGGTGGCACCCCTGGACTTGTACATTGTGGTGGCCCTGATGGCATGAGACACTGAGGTCCTGAAGTTTTAAGGAAACACCAGAGGATGGGATGTTTGGTAGAGTGTGCACAACATCGAGCTCAGTTTAAGTAGGTATTGTTTTCTAATGTCAAAGACCAGAATTACATCTCTGAGTTCCAGAGTCGATGATACGCTGTCTGCTGCTAACAAGAAATGGTTAAATCATAAACACAGTGCTCTGTTCTAAGGAAAGGCTCCAGATCCAGCTTTTTATGGCCACCCCCAAACCATATGCCTCTAGGAAGCAGGCCTTGCAGCACAAAATTAAGCAACAGTTGCTGTTTTAAAAAAGAAAAAATAGATTTTAAAACATTATCTGTCTATCCATCCATCCATCTATCTATCTATCCATCCATCCATCATCCATCCATTTATCCATCCATCCATCCATCCAATCATCTACCCATCTATCTATTTGTAAGAATAACATAAAAATCCAAGCCCTGGAGATGCAGACTTTACAACTTTATAACAATCATATCTATTATATTTACTGCTACACACACACACACACCCCGGGATAAAAGCAACAAAAATACAACTCTTTCCTTAAATTTTGCCTTTCAAAATAATGGTATTACATAAACATGCAATTGATCATTGAAGTGATTCTGCCAGAAGTCCCCAAATTTTAAGGGCTCCCATTGCCAGATTCTGCTTATGGGTTGCCAGAAATTCTGTTCCATCTTTTGGGATACCAAATGAAATGGGAATAAACTAATCCCTTTATGGGCTGCCTGGCTGGCTCAGTCGATGGAACATGTGACTTTTGATCTCGGGGTTGTGAGTTCGAGCCCCACATTGGATGTAGAGATTAAAAAATAAGTAAGTAAGTAAATAATATTTAAAAAAATAAATGAATCCCTTTAAGTTAAATAACTAAGATGCATTTCAGAAAATATTTTTTCCTGGAGTCTCTTCTCCTTTGTCCAGGCCTAATTTGCTAAAATTACAAGGGGAATTAGAGAGAGAGAACATAATTACTGGAGTTGGGGCTTAGCTAGGAGTTACTGCCCTCAATTATTTTGCCTGCAAGAGTTTCTTGAAGCCCTGGCCAGAAATCTTAATGAGAAAGTTTGAAAAATCAATATTTAATTAATTTTTGGGAGCTGAATTTTACCGAGTACTCCTAGTTGTTTTCAAAAGCTAATGTCTACCAGTGAGATGGTTAATAAATGGTTAAAATGGAAAAACTCCTGTGTTATATTTTTGAGCGAGGAGAGGAAAGGGCAACATTAGCAGAGAGATTGAATGGAAAAGAATGTCTTTTCAGCAGGGATATATCTGTGCAAGATGAAATCTGCAGAAGAAGAAGAAATGCTTGAAGTGTCAGCTTTAATAGACTAAAACTCTCCTCCCCAACACTGAAAGGAAGGGCAGCTGAACTCAGTGCCCTGAACCTTGACCCTTATTATTTCTGATTCTTAGAGGCCCCTCCCTAAGTGTCATTGCCTGCGTGGCTGGCTTTTTGCTAGGGGTGGGTTTGGAGGGGTTGCTGTTTTCATTTTAAAGCTCAGGCCCAAGTGTAGCCTCCTCCCTGAATTTGCTAAGGCGCAGGTGAGGCCAGGCTGGATCATTTCAGTGGGGCTTTACAAAAGGGTGTCTGTAAACTCACAGGACCACCTGCAGAAGAATCACCTGGAGGAGTGTATTAAAATGCATGTTCCCAGGCATCCGCCTCAAAGATTCGGACTTTACAGATCCGGAGTGGGCCTCAGGAATCTGTATTTTCAAGTACCTCCCGGATCCACCAGAATGTAGGTGGACCACACCTTGAGAAACATGGCGGGAGAGGTGAGACTTAAGTTTCAGTGGTGTTAGGAGAGAGTTAGGAACAAGAACCTGTGAATGTCTGTATCCTGTTCTGTGATTAGGGAGGTTCTTAGGGAAGAGTACACACAAAGAAATGGGCATCATCATACCACTTTAATAAAAGTACTCTAGGAAGCTGCCCTAGAGCGAATGGGACAGGCTTAGGAGGTCCAGCTATGCTTTAGGGACCTACAGAACTGCCTAACTGACCACCTGCAGGGGGTCAGAGCGTGGGGCAGAGCGGCAATGAAGGTGCCGATGTTTAAGGCACAGTAACCTGCCCACTACTAACACGGGCCCAGTGAACACATTGAACATTGGTTAATTAGATTAGCAGTTTTTCCTCCCTTGGTGGGTGAGTGGGGCCTAGGAAGTGGGCAGACAGAGGCACAATTTCCACTTATCGGTGGGAGAATAGTAAGAAGTGAATTATACAAATTAACATGTTGATGCACCCACTTAATAAATGTGTTCTGTAATAGTTGCTTGAGAGAAGATTCAATTCCATTTTCTATTATTTTTTCCCTTTAAGCAGTGATAAGACATCAGTTGAGGGAGAAGAATACATATATAGGGTTTCATATTTTAAGCTTCCCTCTAAATTGTCCAAATCCTAGCAATGGACTCTCTCCTTTATCTCTGATAAATAGCGCTGGATGATTTTTCCAGGCCAGCAGCCCTAGATTATGGCACGAGTAAGGGAGATGCCATATCCATTGAATAGGCTCCGTTTATATAAGCTATTCAGATTAGAATTTTGGAAGCTCCATTGAATAAAATAATTGGGCAAACTTAGAGTATCTTCTTCAGAAGAAAATAATTTGCTGTTATGTTTTCCAGTGAATCAGAGCAATGAACCTGAGAACATCGTTTGCACATGGAGTGCTCTGTTGTTCATGATGTGACAGCCAGAGCTGCTGCATGATTCATGGAGCATCATGATGATGATGGGCATTTTGAGGGGTTAGGGGGAAAACTGATGCTCAGTAATGTCATACTGGCCATAGAAGAATACCTTGGTCACAGAACCTGCTTTCTTTGGTTCCAGCAGCCTCAGGCATGCACACTGTGCCAGCCTTAAACACAAGTCAGAATTCCTTATACAGGGTCTTAGCTTAATGTGCATTTGAAATCAGAGACTTGCTTCTGCTTGATTTAGATACATGTTCCCTTTGGTTTCCTTATCTAATTTTGATGGATGAGTTAAAAGAAGCGCTTTGGTTAGCTCAGGAAGAGCTTCCTTTCTGCGTGGGGCTCTTGCTCTTCTCCCCTAGGAGGAAGCTCATTAGTACACTGTTTCACAAAGAAATGGTTTGGGGAACAGGGATGACAAATTCATTTCACTTGGCCCTTGATCAGCTGTTTACCTGGGATAACGCATGCTACCTTTCTGGACCACGGTGGTCCCAGCTTATCTGCCTGAGATAAGGAATTGATAATCTGTATCCTTCTGAGACCCGTGCCCACCATCATATCTTAAAACTTCCTGTAGGAACACTGTGAGTTATAGACCTCGGTGTTTTGCCAGCACTGTTCTCCATGTCTGGAATGCCCTTCTTGATCTCAGCTTCTTGGTCAACTTCTGTTCATCCTCCAAGGCTAACACACCTCTGCAAAGCCTTTCTGGATCCCTCCTCTCCGCCACCTTTGCTCCTGACTTGTTCGCCCTTGCTCACTCTGTGCTATACAGCTATAGTAGCTCTCAGCTTCCCTTCAAGCCTACCTGTAGTCTCCACAGGTTTCCTTCTAGATCCAGTGTTTGGAGTTCCTCTGAACATTTGACAGCTGTCTTGTGTTTCCATGGGGAAAGGAGTAGTTAGCAGTGGAGAAGGATGTAACTCTCCTGTTATGGCTTTCAGGGACTGGGGAAGCAGTTACTCCCTACCTGCCATTTATCATCCAACACTTTAAATTATTCATATTGATTTCTAATCCTTACAGATTGCATGCAATCACATGAGCACAGACAGCCTCGCTACTGACTCCAGCCCTGCAAAGAAGCCTTGGTCAGTCTGTCTTGATGACAGGTTTGGCTTAGCTCATCAAATCCGCAGCAAGCAATGCCGCCTCTACTCTTTAGGGTAAGTGCATTCTGTAGTGGAAGAACACAAAACACTCTTGCAAGTGGCCAAGGCTTTTTCAGCAACACAAAGTTATAAACGGTCGTGGTGTGTAACAGGTGCTATACTTTGCCTCCTGCCATCATTTCAGACCCCTCTGGCTGATATGTAACTGTGGGCACTGCACTTGCAGATCACCAGAAGTGGCCAGGGGCCATTTTCTCTCCCATTGGGCTAGTGGCAAGTTGGCAACTTCAATTTTCAGCATGATGATGATCCTCTTGGTGAAGCCAATGATTTCCAGCTGGAATTATAGCATCCTCATTACAAAGAAAGAGATGTTAAGAATTAAGAGAAAGAAGAACAGCAAGCATATTAGAAATTCTATACACACTTACGATGAGTGACCCAAGATAAATGGCACTGTTGTTGGATTTTTATGTTTCGGGCCAATGGTAAATCTGTGTGTACTTTACATTAAAAAGAAAGAAAAGGGAATTCTTGTGAAAACAGTGTGATTTTGTCAAAATTGTGGGAAATATTAATATTCATTTATTCAGGCTGAGAATGACCTAAATATACAAATGGATTTAGAGAGCCTTCTCCAAAAGGGCAAATATAAAGTAATGAGACTATTTCACCAATTACAGTAGTACTCACATCCAGACCTGAACTTACAAATATGTGCCTCAAAAAAAGGCAGAGAAGAGTTATTTTTATTGGGAATACCCTATTCCACAGACTCTTTGTGGAAGCTATGTGATGAGGTTCTTAGGCAAGACCCTTGAAGTCCATTACAAAAGTACTGGGGACCCTAACAGGTGTCTTGGGCTTGTTTCTCACTGATAGGTTTCAGCACTTCTGTGATTTACATTCACGTACATGAGTAACAACTCATGAATCCTAGAAGATAAACGGGGGGGAGCAGGGGGCAGACATTTGGGTATGTGCCCAGAGGATCACCGTCATTGTCAAACTTTACCAAACAAGAATTCTTAGTTACAGTCATTGTGAACTTTTTGTAAAAACGAAAGGTTCAAATAAGAGTTTCAGGATAATGGAACCATTCTTCTATAGGTTCACTGAAGAGTCAGTATCAACAAGGGAGCTTGGTACACACAGTAGGCACTCAATATATGTTTGCTACATAAATGATTGCTCCAGGTAAGGAGACTAGGGAGAGACGCTGGTTATGCTGTGATTTAAACCAGGAGGCTGAGGCTTAGGAAATTAGTTGCTCAGCCACTTGATTAGAACAGAGGGGAGCCCACCAGCTATGCTTCAAGCTTATAGAAAGAATGGGAAGTTTTGACAGTAGCCTTTATTTTCTATCATATTAAAAATGTATGAAAGTAGGTCATAAAAGTAATTGCATAGTACCACATGCAAATTGGAGATCTCAGCTTGGTCCTGTTTTCCTGCTCTGAACTGCCTTTATATTTTACTTATTATTTTACAATCTGGAATAATTTCATTTAAAGCATATCCCTGAGTAAAATGAACCTGGGAAAGCTGTTGCCGGGGTGGGGGGGATTCTTTAAAATTCCTTTTTGCTTTCCTTAAACGTCAGAGCCATTAGATAAGATAGTTCTGCTCTAAGATTTCAGATTACTTCATGTAAAAAGGTAGTTTCTTACTTTCATTGAAATGTTCACTATTCAAACAATTTTATAAAGAGCACATAGGAACAGTTGAATTCTGCTGGGAACAGACGTGACTAGATTATAAGGGCCAACATTTGATTCAAAACCAAAAAAATGCTTAATTGAAAACTGGAAACTAAAAAAAATATTTCAGATGGGTAAAAAAAGGATGCTTTGGATTGTGGATGTACAAGGAGGTTGCCCTGTGACTCAGGACTGAGAGTCAGGACAAGCCTACCCCCTTCTCAGGTGAATTCCTTGCCTGGAGACCGGTAAATAGCCAGCTGACAACATTCCAGTTGATGCTGAGGGAAGAAAGAGACCCAGGCCAGAAGCGGTGGTCCTGAAATGAGGCACAAGAATGGGGGATGTGGGGCCTGGATTCTCAGTGTTTGGGAGTATTGGGGTAGTTGTGAGATGGCAGGGAGGGCAGGTGGCAGGTGGGTCATGGGGCCCCTACACCAGGCCAGTATATGCTCTCAGCCCCAGGACTCTGGTAATAGCAAGACCAGGTCACTGCTGTGCCCAGTCATTCCCAGGCCGACTGAGGATGACGGATAAAGCCGCGGCTCGGGGTAACCTTCCTAGAGAGCAGGAGAGATCTGAGGACAGAGGAACAGAAGACAAAGGCTGCATGTCTTTCCTCCATCCCAAGAACTAAAGCAGGAATCACCTCCACCTTATCTCCGAGTCTGGAATGTCTTTCCAGGAGTCAAAGCTTTTTATTCTGCAGTTAATGTAAAAGCATCTTTTCCGGGAGAGTGCACTCTGTGTGAAGTTAGGTTGAAAATGAAAATCAGATCCTTTTCAACTTTGAAATGGGGGTAGAATAGACCAATTAAGATAGGGGAAAGTGCTGTACAGCAAGGTTATGTTACAGGGAGGGGGAAGAGAAGAGAAAGGAGGGGCTGTGGGTTTAGATGATCATGTCATCTGCCTGACCTCTTCGGCTGGGGCCCGCCCTGTAAGTCTTCTTCTGTGTGAGGTGGAGGGGGAGGATTCGGGGGGAGGAGGGTGGTAGCTAAAGTGAGCGGGGAAAAATCACCTATTTTATCCTGCCTGTCAAAGTTTGTTATTTCAGGGGTAGGCGCGAGAGTGGAAGAGGGAACTTGAGAAGGGATTATGCATAGGTAAATCTTTTTCATCTCTTTTTTAGTTCTCTGGTAGCTGGCACCATGTGGCATAAATTCTCAGCATGAGACAGAAGAACGTTTGATAGATGACACACGGTTAGGCAACAACCAGTATCTTAGGCAGAAAAGCTGGGACTTCTGGGTGCCATGAGCATTTCAAGAGGAATGAACAAGCTCCAGAGCCAAACATTTTCAACTTGTAATAGTTTAATTCACATAGCCGGAGCTTGTGGTATATATGAATGAGGAATCAGAAAATCATGGACCCAAAGATCCTTTTTAGATAATTTTTTTCCTAATCACCACCCCACCCCATGAAATTTTAAAGCCATAGATAAACTGCCTGTTTGTGTAATGTGTGTATCTGTGCTTTCTGTGTAAAAAGAGGAAGTTTTCTTGGCTACCAAGAATGGATTTTTGCCACCTTAGGGGTGATATCTTCCCTGTTGAGAATATATGTTTTAGATGAAATCTTGGCATTTCATGCAATGTTATTTAACAAAAACTAACAATTATAACATATTTTTACCCACTATTCAGTGTCATTTGTGCTTTGAAAAACCTATTTCTCCCCCTCTAGTTGTTGCCAGTTTACAGATCTAATCATAATCACCTCAATAATTAGATAATAGATAACCTAATTATCTATTAGATCTCATAATAGATGAGATTTGGCCACTTGGCCAGATTCTCTGGGTCCTGCAGCATTGAAGAATGCATTCCTGAAATTCCTGGGGACACAGTTGTCTTACTTCTTCCCACCCTTATGCCTTCAGTGGTCACAGTTAGAAACCTTCCCTATATCTGCTTTTATTTATTTTTTTAAACAGTTTTGTTGAGTCATAATTCACATACCATACAATTCACTCATTTAAGACATACAGTTCAATGGTTTTTGGTCGCTACAGTCAAATTTAGAACATTTTCATCACCCCAGAGAGGAAGCCATATACCCAGTAACGGTCATTCCCATTTTCTCTCCAACACCTTTCCTGCTTTTCGCCCCTCATCCTAGGCAACCACTAATCTACTCTCTGTCCATAGATTTGCCTATTCTGGACATTTCATATAGATGGAAGCATGCAACACGTGGCCTTTTGTGACTGGCTTTTTTCACTTAGCATAAAGGTTCATCCATGATGTAACATGTATCATTACTTCATTCCTTTTTATGGCCGAATAGTATTCCATTATATGGATATACCACATTTTATTTATTCACTCATCAGTTGATGGACATTTGGGTTGCTTCCACTTTTGGGCTGTTGTGAATAATGTTGCAGTGAACATTCATTGTGTGGACATATATTTTCACTTCTCTTGGGGATATTTTTCCTTCTTCCTTCGGTAACAGATCTTGTGAGTTTTGCAGGGCACCTGGCACCTTGCTGAAGACTGCATACCCTAGCCTTCCTTGAGGCTGCAAGTGGCCATATGACTAGCTTTGAGCAATGAGATATAGTGAATGTGATGTGTACAACTTCTAAGCCATGCCCTAGGAAGAAAGGATGTGACCTTCATTCTCCTTGTACTTTTCCTGCTGGCTGGAATGCAGATGTGGTGGCAGGGAATGGAACAACTGTCTTAGATCATGAGATAGAAGCCTTATGATCTACATTTCTTGCCTCATGGAATAAACATTAAGTAGAACATCCCTATAAAGAGAATTTTCTTTTTTTTTTTAGAATTTTTTTATTTATTTGACAGAGAGAGAGAGAGCACAAGTAGGCAGAGCAGCAGGCAGAGGGAGAGGGAGAAGCAGGTTCTCCGCCGAGCAGGGAGCCCAATGCGGGGCTCGATCCCAGGACCCTGGGACCATAACTTGAGCCAAAGGCAGACACTTAACCGACTGAGCCACCCAGGCGCCCCTAAAAGAGAATTTTCTACAGCGAATTCTCTTTCCAGTTAAATAAGAGCAGAAAATGATTTTCTTACAGACTAAATACATTTTTGCTGTAAGTAATAGTTTTGTTTTGGTTATTTCATTATTTTACTATAGTTATTTGTTCAGAAATCTCTCTTCATTACCACCGGTGAGCTTCAGATCAAGGGTTATATTTAATTTATCTATTTGTCTCTGGTATCTAGTATAGTGCCTTAAACATATTAAAGTGCTTTTTAAAAAATATTTATTTATTTGAGAGAGAGTGAGCAAGAGAGAGAGCACAAGCTGGAGGAGGGACAGAAGGAGAGGCAGAGGGAGAAGCATACTCCCCACTGAGCAAGGGGGCCTGACATAGAGCTCAATCCCAGGACCCTGAGATCATGACCTGAGCCAAAGGCAGACGCTTAACGGGCTGAGCCACCCAGGCGCCCCTTAAAGTGCTTTATAAATATTTGTTTATATACACAAATAAGACAGTGAAACATAGCCTGCCCCGTTGCCGTGTTGGATACTGTACTATGTATTCTGAGAATTCCAGACCCTACCTAATTTTCTGGTTTTCTCTCACTTGGAGCAACATTTTGTAGATTTGTCTGTCAGCACTCATCTCATTGCTCAGTACTTGGGATTCAGAAATAAGCAGAATATTACACTGTGTGTTAACTAATTTGAATTTAAATAAAAATTTGAAGAAGTACCATTTGAAGAAATGAAAGTAAGAATTATAGACATTGATTCAATGAATGCTGTTTATTACTTTCCAATTTAGTACACTTATGTATTAAGTGTATCTTATTTAGTAATATAAATTACCCCAAAATGACAAATTTCAATATTTTGATGTTATTTAGTGTATCATACACAATAGTTCCTCGCTGTTTGATGATGAATTTAAATATATATGTGTGTGCTTATGATATCTCTAATAGAGAACACTTGTACATGTGTAGAGAATTTCTGGAAGGATACACAAAAAAATGCTAACTGTGATTATCTCTGGAAATTAGTGGCCAAAATTTCTAGAGCTAGAAAACTTTTACTTTTCATTTTATCTATTTCTTTGAACTCTTTCTATGAGTATTGCTATTTTTTATTATAAAAATTAGTTTAAATTGAAAGCATATCAATATATAATAAAGTGCCTTACTAAAAAATTTAGTTACAAAAGTCTATGTGCTTAATTTAATCCTTAAATTTTTTTTGAAGTCTTGATTAAAATACATATTTTAGAGTAGAGAATGTTTCCTTGAAAACAATGTTGAGAAAATTCACAGAAAGAAATTATTCAAATTTCTCTACTCTAGAAAGTTTATATACAAATTATATTTAATGAGTACTTTTTTTGACATAGTGTTCTCTTAGTAAAGCTACAAAACTGCCATTTTTCATGAGATGACCCATAATAACACTGGTTTGCTCATCTAAGTTTCAACATATTCAATTAAGTGAAAAATCGCTTGGGTCAGGTGAATTTGGCAACATTCTGATCTATACAGAAAGAAATCTGTCTATGAAAAAATGTTTCGTCATTTTTATTCAATTCTTGGACGTATAGTTCATGGCAGGTTTATGAGTTAGCTGTTGCTGTACAACAAATCACTCTAAAATTCGGTAGCTTAAAACCATTATTTATTCTTGCTTATATGTCTCCACATCAGCTGTGCTCCAGTTGATTGAGTCTGGGCTCAGCGGGGAGGCTTCAAAGTGAGGTGGCTAAGGGCAGTTCTGTTTTTCATAGAAGGCTGGAGGTTTGGCTGGGGTACCTCTGCCTCTCATATCTCTTATTGTCCTGAGACAGCAAGCTACCCAGGGTAAGTTTTCATCATGAGGTTGATACGAGAGGGTGGATAGAAATACTTAAAGCCTAGTCTCAGAACTGGCATACTGTCACTTCCTTCCAGAAAGCAAATTACATAGTCAAGCCAAAAAATCAAGGGGCAGGAAAGGACACTCTGCCCATGATGAGCATAGCATGGCAGTAGTATGAAGGAGTGAAGAATTAGAGCCAGCAAGTCAATCTGCCACACCAGATTAGATCATGGAAAAATTGGGGGGAAACTAGGATAGAGATTACAATGGTCTGAGCTGTGTGGGTTCAATACGAGGTTAAAAATAGGAAACAGGGGAAGCCTGAGTGGCTCGGTTGGTTAAGCATCTGCCTTTGGCTCAGGTCATGATCCCAGGGTCCTGGGATCGAGTCCCTCATTGGGCTCCTTGCTTAGCTGGGAGCCTGCTTCTCCCTCTGCCTGCTGCTCCCTCTGCTTGTGCTCTCTCTCTCTCTGACAATAAATAAAATCTTTAAAAATCTATAAAAATAGGAAACAGGATCTGTTGGGTAAAAGGAATGGTAGCATTTGTGAGAGGAGTGCTAAATCTTCTAGCCAAAAGGGTAGAGAGAATTACAGCTGAGGGACAGCAGAGGGTTAACATGCCATGGGTCCATGGCAAGGGAAAAAGCAGTGGAGTAGAAGTGAAGGGAAAGAACAAGGCAAATAAGAGTATAGTAAGAATGTCTAGGTGGAGGATTTCTGTACTGGAGACTTATTTTAGTCAACTAAAGGCAGGTCAATAATTGTTAGCCAATGAACTTGTATATTTCCAAATTATGAAATAACTGAGTCAGTAAAGTCTAAGAGAATGAAGCATTTCTGCACTAGGTTCAGGTTTGGTCAATGTATTATAGATGCTCTGAGATTTTGGGATCTTAAATCACATCTAATCATAGTATTTCGGACAAAGAAGCCATAATCACCATTTAAAAAAATAATCCTCTTTCATTTAACTTCATGTTTTTCATCCAAACTGGTGCTTTAATCAAAGTGATGAATATAACTCCACCTAATATGTCTGAGTAATATGACGGAGTAAATTAAAAATGCATTAAGTATATGGATGTTCCACTTGATGTGTTACATACTGGGTACTTAAGAACAACTAATTCATAATTTTTTCCTCCTGTTGATGTGAATTTAGATGAGGTATCTCTTCTATTTCTTGAGTAGAACCACACACAGTTGACCTTTCTTTAGCTGTACTATTTTAAATTACATTCCATTTCTAAGGAAACAGCTGTTGTCTTTAAGTCAGACCTCATGCATCGTGGCCATTAGAACAGAGACAAATTACCTCATTAGTAGACTGCCCCTCTCCCTAAGGGAACTGATCCCGGTGCTTATATTTTTGATGTATTCTGAGAAAACTTCTTAAGATCACTGGACATTCTTGTTTCGTTGCTGTTATGGTTTAAGCCTTTGTAAAAAATTAATTTGGTATGCCTGTACATGTTTGAACATGTGATTCTCTGGTCTGCATTTAGCAGATGATTTCTCTGCTTGCTTTTTACCCAGAAGCTTTTAGCGCTAATGCTTTTTGTGAAAGAAGAAGGTTTATTGAATGTGTGCAGTTAGCTATGTGTTAAAACAGGAGAAAGCTTGATAAGAATAAGAAAATTGGCCTTAGAATCATTTTGTCAATCCAACACTTTTGCTTCATTATAATTTTCTTGTTATTGATTTCCATCCTCTTTCTTTATAGGCTAGGGAGTGATGATACCCAATTTGAGGTTAGCATGGCCAACAGTGGATGTGAGGTACATCGTTTTGATCCTAGTGTGAAGTCGGCTCATATTCTGGAGAGTCAGCGCCTCTGGTATCACCGCTTGTCTGTCGACTGGCGGGACCCGCATCCAGCTGTGGCTGCCCAAAAACTGCATAGCAACACCAGAAAACTGGGCACCATTTTGAATGAATTTGGGCATCACAAGGTGAGAGTTTTCATTTGATTTAATAATGAAATAAAGTGAACAAACTCATCAACTTAAAAAAAAATGCAAACCGAGAATTGGATAGTGGAGGATCCAGTTTCAACCTTACTGATGATAACCCATCATTATTTATAGAGTCAGCTCTGTAGACATAGAGTTTTGGCAGGGATCAAGATCTTTAAGTTGATTTGTAGATTGCAGTTGCTGTTCAGTAGTGCTAGGGTTTTGGCCAAGACTGGGCAAGGAAGTAAGAAACCTACTTCTGGCATGGGCTCAGGAGTCCCATTTTCGTTTGGCAATTGGTTTTAAATGTTCAGACAGAGTGAACTACTTATGTCAGTCTCAAATACAAAGTAATCGGGGCCAGGTTTTTGTTTGATAAGAGATTGCCCATGTGTTGTGTTTCTCACTGTTGTAGCAACTACTTTGAGTCTCCAGGCTCTTGAAGGCCAGAACATATGTATATCTTTGATTAAAACGAACTTTGTGAAATTGAATGGACATTATGTGTGTTGCAACTGATATAATTATGTCAAAAGATGACAAATCTCTACAAGTATCTTATTGTGAATAGATAGCAAAAAGAAACCCAATCTCTGAACTGTGTTCCTTGAAAGCAATTTTTAGTGTAGACCCAAGCCAATTGCATTCTGTAGGCAAATACTAGATAATTCTCCTGAGTGTACTTGGCTTGTGTTTGTTTGCCAACCCTTCTTGGGCTTGGCCTATTTTGCCTTCCTGTTCTCAGTCAGAGATGGCATGTGATTTAGAACACGCCAAAATGGGTGTTTCTGAAAAACAGTGTATATGGAATTCAATTTTAAACTTGAGTTGGCTGCCTGATCTTTAATAAAAGGGCTTTTCCTGTGCTTTGTTCTTTTTCTCCTCCTCCTCCTCTTTTTTTTTTTAACTCCTTTTAATTGGACTGCAGGAGCTTCTTCAAGAACCACTTCAAAGAATTTGCTGCTCTTCTAACATGTGATTAACTATTGATTTGTATTTTGCTCTGCCATTGACCGTAACTAGCATTGAATAACTGAGAGCCTTAATGAAACATATATAGGATTTGGGGAGTAAAATCTCCAAACAGAAACTGAAGTGGGAACATTTTTCAGAAATTTATTTTATTTTTGCCATTTGTTACCTTCAGAGACCTGTTTTTAAAAAAAAAAAAACAGCTGAAAATTACAGGCTTGATTCTCTAATATGTCAACTCTTGATTATTCAAGGAGCTAGCTACAGATTCTTTGTGTTCATCTGGGACTCTTGTTGCTCCACGTTAATGCTCTTTACACCCTGGCTCTATCTACCCTCACTCTTCAAAGAATAGACCTTGTAGAGACAGCTTTTTTTGACAATATCTCAGCAAAAGTTTTGGTAAATGTGAGGATAAAATAGGGCTTTGAAAAATGGCCTGTGGATATCATTTATCCAAGCCACATTTCCTATGGAAAATGCATTTTCAGATAACCAGGTATGCACCTGAATTGTGTTTGTTTAACTCCATAGGAGTTGCAGTGGGCAAACCTTTATGCTGAGGATGAAGCATGAGATCTTTTATGCTGCCCCTGAGACAGCAGAAATATTTACAGTAGTACCTAAAAAGGATAAATGTTTTAAAGGATTTTTTATATTCCTAAGGCTACTTATTTTTATTAAAAACATTAATAATGACATCTAAAAATAAGCGTTTATGTTATGTGTATTTTACCACAATAAAAAAAACAAACATGAAAGTGATCTGGGTCAGAATTGCCAGGTATATATTTGCTGCTTTAAAAATTCCTTATTGAGGGGCGCCTGGGTGGCTCAGTTGGTTAAGCGACTGCCTTCGGCTCAGGTCATGATCCTGGAGTCCCGGGATCGAGTCCCGCATCGGGCTCCCCGCTCAGTGGGGTGTCTGCTTCTCCCTCTGACCCTCTTCCCTCTCGTGCTCTCTATCTCTCATTCTCTCTCTCTCTCTCTCTCAAATAAATAAATAAAAAATTAAAAAAAAATTCCTTATTGAAGAATTTAAAAGAGACTGATATTCTTTCATAGATTGTTTCTTTTCTTTGCTTTTTTTTTTTGCGAATGCTTTAAAACAAAACAAGGAAAATGAAACCCATCAGTGGAGTGATTGCTTCCATTAGGAACATGCCTCTAGAAGCTATGTGGTGCCAGATGAAAGGAAACTTCATTTCTGGCCTGCAGCAAGCAAGGTCTGTTTTCATTTTTCTGCATGTGTACAGACACTGGTAAATAGGATGTGGCTCTGGCAGGGCAAGCAAGTAGAACACGAACACACACACACACACACACACACACACACACACACACACACACGTCTGTGCTTGAGTCTTGCCTTCTTCACTCATTTCTTCTGCTAGTGACTTTAGAAACCAGGGGGGTTTTTGTTTGTTTTATTTTCACCTCATGATGTTAAACTGTTTCATATAGTTGGGTGATGTTTTCCAGGTGAGGCTGTGATTTTTCTTCTTCTTCTCTTTATCCATCCCTAGATTCCAGCCACTCAGGCCAAAAGGAAGGGCAATACTCTGAGACGGTGACAGAAAGATGCATAGGGCTTCTGTTCTGCTTTTAGAACTCTTTGGTAATTTTAATTTCCAACTGTAAATCAAAAACATTTCTAAAGCATCTGGTGAGAGCAGCTGCATCAGCAAAAGCAGGAGAACCAGAAGCCAGTCTGTCAGGGAGTAAGATCACCTGGATCCAGCATTAGTAATGATGAACTGTCTTCTTGCTCATGTTCTTGTTGCTGTAAACGATGCATAAGAATTTTTCCAGAATGGGACTAGAAATAGTGAGTCTGAAGTTTCTGCTCATATTAATCACACCGTATGCTTTTTTTTTTTTTTTTCCTAAAGTCTGTATCACACAGAGTATCCTAAATGATCCAGGCTGATTAATGAGAAGTTTTTACTTTCGGTCTTTACCATGCTGTTGATAGTATGAGTAACAGGACTGCCTTAGAGTTTACCTCTGGAAGTTCAGTGATTTAGGTTTGAAGCACCCATTCCCTCCTTAGTTTTTGGCACTAGGAGGGAGAGTCATTTAACTGCTCTGGTGCTCCGTTTGATTGCCAGTGTAATGGGGACCATGATACTCCCTAAATGGATTGCTTTTGAGAATTAGATCAGAGAACACAGTGTGATTTAAAAATGATTCTAGGGTTGCCTGGGTGGCTCAGTAGTTAAGCGTCTGCCTTTGGCTCAGGTCAGGATCCCAGGGGCCTGGGATCGAGCCCCACATCGGGCTCCCTGCTCGGCGGGAAGCCTGCTTCTCCCTCTCCCACTCCCCCTGCTTGTGTTCCCTCTCTCGCTGTGTCTCTCTGTCAAATAAATAAATAAATAAAATCTTAAAATAAATAAATAAATAATGATTTTAAATTCAAAGACTTTTAATTAACCATTTCAGGAAGTCTTTACAAAATTTTATAGAAAACATTTTCTGTTTTCTCTCTTTCTTTGTTTTCAGGGAAAATATATCAGATTTTCCTGGAAATTGATAACCGCACCTAATTCCACTCAAGAGTTTTTAATGAAAGCTTTGTGCGAAACTGAAGGGCAACTGGTTCTTCAGACAGGGTCGTAGAGAATTGTTATTGTTTGCTGCTCTGGGGCACTGAACAGCCTTGCTGGCGATTGTGTAGAAAGTAAACACTGTGTTGTAGAGAAATTAAATAAGCGGCTGAGAATTAATACAGAGCAGAAGTGGGGGGCGGGGCCTCGGGCTGCGGGTCGGACGACAGGGTGGAGCTGGACTAAAGCTGCTCGGCGCCGGGGGTGGGTCGTCCCCGGGTGGGGACGCTGCCTGGGGCGGGGTGTCCGCAGGGACCCTCATTGGAGGGGCGCGGCCTGAGTCCCTGGGCCCGGAGCCCGCCCCGGATCACCAGACCTCACGTCTGCTGTGTGGTCCCTGGTTTGGAGAGGAGGAGCGCTTTGAAATTGAACTACAAGAAGATTCCCTTTTCTTTTGCTTATCAGATGGACAAATATAAACAAGATGTTGATACCGCCCTAGAGTGAATACTCATGCTTTGCTGGTGGAAATGGAAAATGATAGACTCAGGAAGAAAATTTCACCACATGTATATATTATGTCGCTCTTCATTCCTGGAAATTTTCTTTGCCTTAAATTGTATTTTGTTTGCTATAAGTTCTGCTCTACCAGTTTTTGTTTTGTTTTGAGTTTTTTTGATAAATATTTATGTGAAATGTCGTTCTAGATTCCTTTATTTTCATTATTATTATTGTTAATATTTTAAAATATAGTTTAATTTATGTCCTTTGTGTTCTCCTTCTCTGACAATTTGGTCTTTTCGGTTTGGTTTGGCATGGGGGGGTACATCTTCCTTTTATACTTTTCTTTAAGTCAACTTTAAACTGATTCACCTTTCTTAGAATTATCTGGAGAAATAATACCAATGGACTCATGAGTAAACTGGCTTAATTATGTTTTCTAATACATATTAAAAATACCTAACAAACAAAAGATTTTGAAATGCTTATTTGTATGACCTAAACCATCTTTCATCCCAGTATGGCTCATATTAATGTATATATGAATCACCTGGGGAATCTAATTAAAATGCAGATGTCGATTCTGAAGTTCTGGGGTAGGACCTGAGATTCTGCACTCCTAGCAAGCTCTCAAGCTCTGCTGAGGCTGCTAGTTGGGGAACCATACCTTGAGTAGCAAGGCCTGTACCATAGTCTGAGAAACACAGGAACAGAGGATATGTACTAGTAATTTGTGTCCCCCCCCCCCCCAGAGGCCCAGCACTGGACCACTTTATGTCCTATTTTATTTTATTTATTTTATTTCAGTAGGAGAGAGAAAGCACAAGGGGAGGACAGAGGAAGAGGGAGAGAGAGAAAAACCCATGCCGACTCCACCCTGAGCGTGGAGCCAGGCGTAGGGCTCCATCCCAGGACACTGTGATCAGACCCCAGCCAAAACCAAGAGTCTGCTGCTCAACCGACTGGGCCACCCAGGTG